AAGAGGAGGTTGGATGACCACCTTACTGGGGTCGTTTGACCCCAGTACTCTTTCCTGCCATGGCAGGGGGTCGGACTAGATGATCTGCTCAGGTCCCTTCCGACCCTAGAAACTATGAAACTATGAAACTCTATGGCCCATGAGCCAGGTTTGGTGCATGTAATCACTGGATCCAGCCCAGGAGCTGGAGGGGTTTGCCTGTGCCTGTTCAGGGGCTCAGCAGTAAGGAGCTGCATCAGGGCCAGGCAACTTCCAGTTGCACTCTCGCTGCGGTTTCTTTTCCCCACCACCCAATGCTCCCCAAGGCTACAGCATGGGCTCATCTTCCAGCCAGGGGGGAGCTGTAGTGGGGCCAAGATGCACCTGTGCTGCAGCTGAGAGGTGTGGGGGAGAGGGAGAAGCAGTGGCAGCATGGACAGAGTTCCCAGCCATCCACCCCACCTGCTGGAATCTGGCCAACACCAGCCAGGGAGCAGGAGGGCTGGGATAAGCATCGGCAGCCCAAATGCAGTTCTCAGCTACTTGGCCTCGAGTGGGTGGAAAGAAAGTACAGTATCTCACTGGTGATGTCACTGGTCTAGCCCATTTGACTCAGGCTGATGCAATGGTCAAATTCTCTTACATGAGAACTGGTCTCTGACATTTATTTCTCTTTTCATTGTTAGGTGAATGCCATAGATGCAAAGGGAGAGAAAGTAAAAGGTCCCTACGTTATCACTATAAATGTTCAGGATATCAATGATAACCAGCCACAGTTTGACCAGCTAAAGTATTCTGGAGTAGTGAGGCCACTACCTTCACGTGCAGGTAATTGCCATTATCATTATAATTGTTGTTAAGATTTTAATTGTTCTTACATTTCCTCTATTCATTCTGGATTACTGGCTTAAGCAGTGCAAAGTGACCCCAAGCTACTCAGACACAGATAGCAGAGAACGCCCTCTGGGCAGAAGAACTCCCCGCTGGTGGAGAGTTAGTTGATGAAACAATTCCCCACCCCTGGTGTAGGTGGGGAGACAAAGTGTCCAGGGCAGGACCTGTAAGATTCTCCAAGGGATTTGATCTTAGGGCTATAAATTTAGCCTGATTAATGTAGGTGCTGAGAGGTTCTGAGTGCATTAGTGCATACTTAGTAAATTTGCAGATTATACCAAGTTGGGTGGAGGAACAAACACTCTTTAGGGTACAGTTAGGATCCAGAATGACCTTGATAAACTGAAAAAATGGTCTGAAATTAATCAAATGAAATTCACTAAGGATGAGGGCAAAGTCCTGCGCTTAGGATGGAAAAATCACATGCACAAATACACATAGGGGAATGACTGACTAGGCTGCAGTACTGCAGGAAACAACCTGGGGGTTACAGTAGACCATAAGCTGAATATGAGCCAACCGTGTGTTCATGTTACAAAAAAATGGCCAATAGCATAAATGGTTTTATTTATAGGAGCACTGCTTGCAAGTCAAGGGAAGTGATTCTTCTCCTCTATCCAGAACTATTAAAGCATTGCCTGAAGTCCTATGGTCAGATTTGGGTACTACACTTCAAGAAAAGAGGCCATCAGAGAGCAGCAAAAATGATTAGAGGTCTGGGAAATATGATTTACAAGAAGAGATTTAAAGAAGTGGGGTTATTGAATCTGGAGAAGGAAGGACTTCTTAGGGGGTGGATTGGATAACCTCCTGAAGTCCTTCCAGCCCTCCCTTTCTATAAGACTGAGCAGGGATTTGGTAACAGCATAGGTGACAGGTGAGGAGGGGTGCATGGGGGGCCACGTGCCCCCCCCCCCCCATTTCT